GGCGCGTTTTGCGGTAAACAAGTAGAAGGGAATAAGTGGGAGGAACACGCGCTGCCACTTTTCACTTTCCTTGAGAAGGCATTCGCTTTTTAAAATAAGGTTAGCATTGATTTTCCTATCATGGTAGATACATACACACATATATATGTGTATGTATGTATATATATATTTATTAAAGCTTTTATTATACTTTTTTGTGTCTACTTTATTTAATTATTTTTTWAATTTATTTATTTATCTGTTGTCATTAAATTCTTACAAACATAAATCCATACGTAAGCATACATCTACATATTTATTTACTTCTTTCACCCAAATCGCCGGATRTGCGGCCAAAGTTGGCGTTAAGCGACATAATTTATCATTACACTCGCCCGTCCACAGCATGTGTTCGTCGCTGTGCCGAGTGAGTTCCGCTGTTGCAGCGTCACTTCGCAGTCCTTTCGCATGTTACTTATACGCCCTGTTGGGCCTCGTCGTCGCTGCTGCAGGTAATTCACAGGCCTGTGGTCGAGGTGCGGGCGCCTGATGTACGCCTTGGCGGCGGCAAATCCGATGAGTAATTCTGATATCTCTCCGAGYAGTGTATGGCCTGCAAGGGATACAAAAACAAAAGCAACAATATGAACTATCAGCAAGTAAATACAAATATTAAATCGCCTTGTTGGTTATGAATATAATAAATGATTGTATTAAATGCTTTTGTGTGYTGWTGTGTGTTTGTTGTTGTTGTTTTTYCATTGTCCGCTGTTGCTGTTAACCGCTTACGATTAACGAAATTTGACGGGTAAATGACGTACTCATTGTTGTGTGTGCTTTTCCTGTGTATATGTGGGTACGTATGTGTATGCTCGCCACTTCCGGCACCGCTATATTTGATTAATGATGTGTCAAAAGGCGGACAGTCGACGCGCAAGCAYAWAAACACACACACATACAAACAGRAGAGCATATGTTGTGTATTTTGAGCAAGTATATTTAAATAATAGCATTAATAGCCACCACATAAAAATATATTTATATATATTTAAATATGCAAATATACACATTTTTYCATATACAGGGTGAGTCGAAAATTTTTAAACGTTAAAGTATACGAGTTATTCTAAAAGCTGCTGGCAAACAACAGCAGCTGATGAAAACGCTTTACTGAGGCCCTATGTTCCAGTGTGAGATAAAGGGAATCATGATGATTGGCTAAAAATATTCACCAGCTTAGATTAGATTAGCTTTGTGAGCTGATCTCCACCGACAACTATTTCTGCGATTCCTTTTCGATAGTTGAAGCACTTTTACTTTGCCTCAAAAATTCTTAGCTATAGATCTTGAGACCCTCAAGTATCGAAAACATTTTTGGAGGCTATCGCAAGCCTTATTAGCCAGCTAACTTTCATTCCAGCCATATTATCCAATTGAGCTAGCGTGAGACATATCCAAGATGTTTCAAGCGCAGTATAGCGAATGTTGAATTGCCAAGGATGAAGAGTCTAGATACTTGTATTTCTACTTCGTCATTTCCCAGTAATGTTTCTCAGTGAGTTTTCGGTTTCGAATAAAGATAAAAGCCCCAGGGGGCCAAATGTGGATAATATTGGCTGAGCGATGATTTTTAATAGGTATTTGACCAACAAAACAGTTACAATCGTACCAGAATATGTCGGCACATTACAGATCCATGAATATAATATTCTTCATTCATAGCTTGACCCTGTGGCACGAGTTCATAATCAAACACTCCACAGTAATCAAAGAAACCGATCTTATTAATTTTTAATTTACTGTGATAAATTTTATTTATTCATATATTGTGCTGTTCGCTAGATTGTCTTATTCTTATTATATCTTTTGCGACTTTCTATGAGAAAAATAAAGAGTAATTTTTGTACGAATCTAACATAAACACGGCTCATAGCCAAAATGTTCATCAAAATGTCATGGGTCGAGTTATGAGAAATGGTGAGACTCTTCTCAAGTACTGTTTCACTGTAACATCCAGCTAAGGCCATACCGAGCGTACTTGAGGATTTCACCATCTCTGAGTCGCTTGGAAAATTAATTGAACACATGTTCATGGGAAGGTCAATAATTTCCACGCTGGGAGCTTCAATTATGTACAGATCTGCCTAAAGAAGTTCAACTCAATGAGCCGAGTTATCTCCACTTCTCTGCATCTAAGCAATGGATAAAATGTTGCTAGATCTAGATAATGATATGCTTATTATATGACGGTTTCGGTGAGGGGTAAATTCGAAACTACCTTCGCTAACTTTATGCAGACTACCTGAATATTAAATAACATAAATAAGCCATATCGTGCGGTATAAACTTAAATAAATACTAAATAGCAAGACAGAGCAAATATTGTTCACTAGGAAACAAAGAACCCCAGAAGTTATGTCACTAGTATTAATGGTACCCGGCTAGCAATAGAGGACAGAACAAGCTACTTGGACTTATTTTATACAGGAATCTTTCATGGAAATCAATTTGGCCACTAGGGTAAATATGACTGCTATAAAGCTTAACACCTCCAATGATATGGTGGGAACCAAATAGGGTTTAACACCTCGGTTAACTCATTGGCTCTACACAGCAGTTGTAAGKCTGATTATGACATACGGTATATTGGTATGGTGATCTATAATGACAAATAAATACGTGGTAAGGCATAGGGAAAGCRTACAAAGAGCAGCCAGTATATGCATCAGTTTTGCGATTATAATAAGGCGGATCCTTGCATTCTTCTACCCGATACAATACGAATACGACAATAGAGTGCGGAGATTTTTATTTATTTTTTTTTATTTTAGGAAGCTTATGTCATGACTATGCTTACTACTTTGGTCTACAATCCYAAAGAGTCTAATTAACCAGAAGGTAAGCAGTAGAGTTTAATAACACTGATTTTCCTCGAGGTAAGTCGCCACAAATATGAACAATACCTCTAACAAAMGTTCAGTAACTGATATGACGACCAGTATTTATTAGAAAAATAAAAAAAAAACCGATCTCGATTCGAAAAAAAAAATTTACTCGAATTCGGATTYTCAATCTTATTTTCGAATAAATGAAAATGAAAAACTTAACTATTTATACTGGCACAGGGTGGTACAATTTTCGAATAACTGACAATTTCGAATTTTAAATATAATACCTTTTCGAATCGAGATACCAAGTAGTGTTTCTGAACAGGTAGAATGTCGATATTTTTTATTTTCGAATAAAATGCGCATAATTTTTTAAAATTCATAGAAAAAATCTTTGATAAGCGTTTTTGTATAAACAAGTATATCTAATTTCAAGGTTTTGAAATCATTTAGATCGAAATGGAGCAACAAACGCACTCTAAAATAACGAAAGTCAGTGATTTATTTGACTTTCTATTTTTTTAGATCCGCTTTACTTTGATCTTGATAYTTGTGTTGTAACCACTTTTCTGGTAGTCTCTACAGTCTTGGCTTTGGATGACTGTCGTTGAGATTCAGTTCAACTTGGAAGCCTATAAAATTATCAAACTATAAAAGGAGGTCAATAAGTTTGCGTTTTGCTAGTTACGAATTCTTAAGCATACTAAATGAAGACTCTCTGCAATACTAGATACTTCAAGCAAAAAACGCAACTCAATACCGCTGTGCCTATAATGCTAGCACTAAAAAGTGAGAAAACACTTGATATATCTACAATCATTTCAAGTAAACAAAAATTCCACACCAAACGGGTATCCCTAATTTAATTGTTGTTATTATTCTTGTTGTTGTTTTTGCTTTATTTGATTAATTGGTTTTGATATTCAATTAATTTTGTTGGCTTGGCGTATATTCCCTGGTCCAGGCATTGTTATTTAATAATTTCGCTGATTCACTCAGTGAAAACAACAACAAATTTTACAACAACAATGCAAATTTTATAAACACTAAATAACCACAAACAAATATTTAGCCACAGCATGATTTCAACCACTCATATTGGTCATCATGTGTGTTCTGATTGTTCCGAAGCGTTGCCATTTTGTTTGTTTTCTTTACTTTTGCTGTCGATGTGCTGATTTGGACTTTATTTGTTGTTGTTTACTTAATGYTATTTACATTTCGTGCGGATATAATGTTCTCTGTGTCTAAATGCACACAAACAAATGAACATATATGTGTGCATACGAGTAGGTAGTCGTTTACAGTCGGATATAAAATGAGGTTTTTGGCGAAACAGTGTGATTCTCAAGCATTACTTAGGTAAGCGTTTGATTATTAATAATTTTCGAAGAAATACTATAATTGGTTTGGTTGGAGTTTGGTAATTATTATTTCAATTGCATTATCTTTATGTATTGCCTACCGAAGACCTAGATGCCGCTGCAAAAAAATAGTGCATACAATCTGTAATATTTTGGAAAAAAATACTTTGTAACAATGTAACGTTAAAGCGATCTATCAATGGTGTATAAAAATTTGCTGCTAAGTTTATGTAAAATGAAGTTATATACAAAAAACATATTTTTCTTGATGCCACAAATTACTTATACCAATTGGATAGCTAGAGACGCCTGTTGGATGTAAGTCCAGAACTACTAGGTATGACTCAGAAAGGCTAATATCAATTACAGCCATTTCTCCGGGTTCGTAGAAAACATGGTAAATGGGATATCTTCATACTTAGTCCGACCAAATCCCAACAGTGGAGGATAAAGTGTCTAACTGTTTCTAACACATTCTCCTCACTGAAACTTTGGCAATTTGCGTTACCCAAAATCGTTGTCATAGCCAATGGGACAGTGTCTGGAGTATTAGTGTACTGAATTGTAAAGTGAAAGTAGGTGAAAGTAAAGGTAAGAATTTTCTTCAACTCTTCTAATCAACCAATCAACTCTCCCTGGAAGTCAAGGTAATATTGGATATCAACACTAATGATCATAAAATGTCATTTGTCATT